AATGGAAACCATAAATTTGGCATAAACTGCATCCATTAAAAAGACTTGCACAATTGGTCCCAAATCTGGCACCTCCAATGATTTCTTCATTATTTTTTGACGCTAGAAAAATTTTAAAAAAACAATTTTTTTCGAATTTATAAAAATTTAATTTGAATAATTTATCTGCCATTTTTTAAATAATCCTTATAATCTCAAGTTTTTTAAGAAAAAAATTAAATGAAGCAAATAGGAAGGAAATAAAATAGCAAACATTATCAGCCACATGAATAATTTCCTTGAAATTAACATTATCCAAAAGAGCTGACGCATAACAAATATGTTCAGGATTATTTTGAAGCCAAAATATGATCGCTTCATAAATTTCTAATACCCATTCAGGTCCTTGTAATAGTGGTGAAGAAAGAAGTGCGTAAAGCAATTCGAATGATAACTAAAAAAAAAGGAAAGGAAAAGGAGAGAGAGAGAGAGAGAGAGAGAGAGAGAAGAAGAAGAAGAATATTAATTAAATGTAAAAAAATTTTTTACATTTAGCTAATTGCTTTGAAATAATAATGAAAACAAACAAACAAAAAAAAAAAAAAAAAAAAAATTATATATAGAAAAGAAATTATTTCTTTTCTTTTTTTTTTTACTTCTGAAAATTTTGGGCTTGCCAGAATATCATGAAATTTTATTGCTGCACCATCAACAACCATATTACGATATTGTGATTGTCTAAATGTAAGATAAAAAGTAATGATAAGGAAAAAATTGCGATAAAATAATTTTTTTGAGAATAATATTATTGTCTCATTCAAGATTATAACAAAATTTCGTGCAGCAATTAGACTTGTTCTTTTTTTTAAAAGATGACAAAATCTGCTAGAAGCTTTGAAGCTATAAACAGGTAAACATTGATATATACATCTGATTATATGATTTAAAATGAAAAAATTAATTAAACAAACGGAGGTAAACAAGCAATAGCTGAGTAAAGTAATGAAATTGGTGGTGATGTATTTTCTAATATGCGTTCAGTCATTTCTTCACAAATTAATGATACCAATGAAGTCACCTGAAAACTTTTTTACTGCAAACACAATCATATCTACTGATCATAACTATAATTTTATTGGATTGAAAGATTTGCTTGTCATTTATTTTAATTATTAAAAAGATTATTTGCCTCTATTTAATCACTATGATTTTTTTCTATATCATTTAAAAATTTTTTGTTAAGGTATATTTTCAGAATTCAGGCATTTTGTTCTATCTGTATTGGTTTTATCTTGATTACCTATTAGCTTATCAATTCTTCGTTTCGCCTATTTTTGATACATTTGACTTTGTCAACTATTTCTTTCTTGATTTCATCTTTTTTTTCTTTTTTAAAAAAGCATTATTTTAATTCCTAAATTCTTTATTATTAAGTTAAGTTTAATATACTTACTTGAAGATCATTAGCTGCTATTAGAACATTCTCCAATTCATTTTCTAAAAATTTGATTTGTCCACTTTGAATGAAAGCTACCACATTATAGAGACCGGCATTCGTAATATTTGGCATATCATTTAAATGAACTGTGATTTCTTTACCCGATGAAAGTGTTTCTTGTGTTGCCTAAATATAATCTTTCTAGGATAATTACCCATTTAAAGTTATTTAAAATTTTAATTAGTTTAATTATACTTTCATTAGTTTAATTATATATATATATTTTAAAAAAGGAAACGACCAAATATTTAAACAATTACAAATTTTGTACAACAAATATTAATTAATTCAATTAAAATTTACTTGTGCTGAAATAAGTTTGCGAAAGATATCCGAGAATGCAGTAAGTAAACATGCAGGTGCATTACATGAATATCCATTTTCAAGCACAATTTTTACTCGATTTTTAATACCAATATTTGCTGACCACTTTAAATATACTTCAGCTTCTAATCTATCAGTACGCAATTCATCCTTAAATGAAAATAAAATAAAAAAAAAAAATGGTTAAATATAGTCAAGAAAAACTTTGAAAATATTTAATTTCAAATAAATCATTAAAATATTTTTTAGCAAAATTTATTCTTTTACCTTTAAACTTTTTTTCATCTTTTTTCTTTTTTTTTTTTTAAATCATAATAATACATTGAAATTTCTCAATAATTTAATGCAGGTATAAAAATGTTCTCAAATAATCTCAATATGTTTTTCCTTTCACATTTTTCTGTTTTTTTTTTCTTTTATGCTTAAATATAAATATGCTTTTTAGCAATTAATTATGATTAATTAAATTAATTGGAACCTTCAAATACTTTTTGCGAATATCTCCTGGTACAACCCATACAGCATCCAACGCAAGTCGCTGTTGTAATTGCGGGACTCCTTCCTGCGATCTGCCGTACCACATCTGATAGAAGCATGCAAATGATGCGTTGCAGTAATTCGAATCAAATAAATTAGTTTTTTTCTTAGTAAATAAATTTGCATATGAATGTTGCAAAAAATTCATTTTCGTTTTTTAAATCAATCAATAATGTATTTTTCAATATAATTTGAGTAATTGATAGTTATAAAAATTATTTCAAGCATTGACTGATAATATTTTGAAATTAGCAAAATTAATTAATACAATTTGAATAATTGATAGTTTTAAAAATTATTTCAATTTGTTTATTTACTTATTATTTTTCCTAATTTTTAATTAATATCAATTAATGCTTGAAATAATTTTTAAAACTATCAATTATTCAAATTGTATTAATTAAATCAATCAATAATGCATTTTTCACCGGTACGTATATTCCATTCTTTCTTTAGCATATTCACTGATAAACTGTTAATAAATGAACTTTTTGGCTCCTACAAAAGCAATCTAATAAGAATAAAAAATGCATGAAATTGTCTTAAAAGATAATCATAAAGACACTGCACGAAATATTTCTAATTTCTTTAAATAAAAGCTTCAAACTTTAAATAAAATTTTTTTTTAAAGAAAAAGGCATTGTCCTAAAATAATTGTAAACGATGAGTCATTTTATTGAAATTTTTGCTTTGCAATCTTTTTTTCGCAATCTAAGTTAATTTTAGGTAGTAATTTTGTAATTAAACCAATAATTTAGGATACATCTCGATGAATAAAACCTATGGTTAGCAATTTTGTTTACTAAAGCAAATGTCTATTAAAGATGTTTTGCATTTAATGATTTTGATGGATTAAATAGAATCAAAAAGAACGACAATTAAATAACTATAATTTTTGCTTCTTTGAAATTAGTTTTGTTTGGGAAAAAAAAGTTATACACCTATATTAATGTGTATATGAGAGAGTATATTTATCATAGTATTTTGTATAAATAAATGTGTATGTCACTTTTTTTTTTTTTTTGATTTATACTTGTACGTCTATATTTCGATTTAATTCGTGTACTATGGTTGATAAAGACGATATCATACGCTTCATTGTTAGCCTGATGATATATTTATTGGTTTTTTGCCCTTGAGGATTTTATGCGAAACTGACAAATACTATTGCTACTACTAATAATAATAATAACAATAATAATAATAATGATAATAATAATAATTAATAATAATAATAATGATAGCAGCAACAACAATAATAATAATAATAATAATAATAATAATATAGAAACTGATTCATTTGAAAAGAGACTCGAGATGAAAAAACATATATATGCGATTAAAACGTTATGAAGTATTATACAAAATTATCAAAACCGATTAGAAAAGGAAATGAAACAAACAATATTCTATGTCTTCTCAAAAATTATTGCCTTTACTAGGACTAGGAACCGGATCATTTTCTTTAAAATCAATGAAATTGAACGTTTTTCTTAGCATTTTCAATTGCGCTATTTTCAAAACAAAAAGATAATAATGCCTTATGGATGAAATTGTTTTATACCAAGCCTTCAGCGGTAACACAAGACAAATCATAGTATTCTAGCGAAACCAAGAAAAATTTAGCAAACCACGCCAAAACCCCGGGTTTTTAATTGGTTTGCTAAAATTGTAATGTATTGCTGGATGACAATGTTTGCTATTTGCGTTACGAAACCATGATTATAGCGAAAATTAGCATCTCCATGTGCCAAACATTAACATTTTCATATACGCTATCAATATAAATAGAGTTTGGGACTAAATTAAAATGAGGAAGTCAAGTGGTTAGAAATTCATTTTTGACATTGGAAATTAGTCATAATTACCAATTAGCAGTAAATTGCCGTGAAAAATATTCATTTTGTACCAATTTTTATTACTTGGACAAGGGAAGAAACAAAAATTTTGTAAAAATTAAAGCTTTTTCGCATTTAATATTATCTCTTTGTCTATTTAAACTTATCTCTTTATCTCTTTGTTTCTAAAGTTAACTTTTAAAGTTTAAAGTCAGCATAAAATGTCAAAAAAAAGTCAATAAGATGTCAGCAGATCAAGTGTAATGCAAATAAAAGTAATAAATTAAGTTCAATAAATGTTCATTTTTAGAAAAAAAGGAAACTTTTTCTCAAAAGAAAAAAAAAAAACTTTTTTTTCTCAAAAGTATAAATCTCTTCGAAAAGGAAGTTAATAACAAATAGCTTTTGTCTTTTTTTGCAATAATTTAATTATTAAATTTATTTATTGTTAGTTTAGAAAATGCTTAAATTAATTAAGCATTATTTAAGTTAATTTCTTGTACCTTTTCCAATCTAATCATTTTATTATTTTCTTTTTTTTATTTTAAAATTAAACAAGAAATATGCATTTAAATTCATTTTTTCATGTGGTCTTATTTAGGAAAATTTTTAAGAAATTATTGCCTTCAACTTACTGCATTTAAAATTGTTTGTTAAATGACAATTATTATAAAAATCAATAAATTAATTAAGATCATTATAAATTATCATAAATGATTGAATCATTATAAATGATATCAAATTAACATCTAATAAATGATTAATCATTTCATTTAAATTTTATTTTTACAAGACAAAACAAAAATGAAAAAAATCATTTCTAATCACTTCGTGTCAGTTTTTTCACGTGCCTGTCGTTTCTTACGTAATTCTTTGCGACTTTCTGGTGGTTCAGTTCGTAATGGGATTTGCTCAATTTTAGGTCGTCGTTTCGAACTTGATTCCGATTCTTGACTGCTACTTGTTCGAATTTCAGCTGATTCTAGTGTTGGAGAGCTTTTGATAGCGCCTGATCCTTCCTGTTCACCCCTACCGCCACCAGTAGCACCACCGCCAATAGCACCACCGCCAATAGCACCACCACCGATAGCACCAGCAGTACCATCGCTAGCAGCAGCAGTAGTAATAGGAACATTTGAGTAGATGAGTACCGGATCATTATGTGCTGTAATTACCGTACAAATCGAATCACGAGAGCTTTTGGTGGTAATATTGAGGGAGCGGTGCTACTTTGGAGTGGAATCATTTCACCTGTTACATTTCCACTTTTAGACATGCTTTGATTGTTGAGCTAAAATTTCAGCCCAAAGTTCTCGTCTACTATCACTAATCTTTTCCTGGGTTGGGTAAATTACGTAAGATTGCTTTAAAAACTGTTAACAACTACCAGATCCTATTGGAAGCTGTTGAGCTGGACGCCAATTTTTGTTAACTGATACGGATATTTCATTACTAATACTTTTGGTTGTTGCAGCAGATGATACCGAATCAAAAGGTGGAATGATATATGATCCAAGAGGTGATGGTGCTAATCCTAATGTTCCTCCTAATGGAGTTGGTGTAACTGCATTTTCTGCACCAGACACCGTATAGATGGGCGATGATAATGGTTGATTGCGATTTTGTGGTGACGCCAAATCATCCTATAATTTTTAATTTTTAGGTAGCTATTTTATTCTAAATTTTTAATATTTAATTTTAATCATATACTTATAAAATTGAATTTTTTTTGTTTGTTTCGTAAACATTTGCAATGTACAAATTCAAATGATTGCAAATTTTTCTTTTCATATTATGAAATTGACATATTTGTTAAAAAATTCAAAAAATAAAACAAATGGAAACCATAAATTTGGCATAAACTGCATCCATTAAAAAGACTTGCACAATTGGTCCCAAATCTGGCACCTCCAATGATTTCTTCATTATTTTTTGACGCTAGAAAAATTTTAAAAAAACAATTTTTTTTTTCGAATTTATAAAAATTTAATTTGAATAATTTATCTGCCATTTTTTAAATAATCCTTATAATCTCAAGTTTTTTAAGAAAAAAATTAAATGAAGCAAATAGGAAGGAAATAAAATAGCAAACATTATCAGCCACATGAATAATTTCCTTGAAATTAACATTATCCAAAAGAGCTGACGCATAACAAATATGTTCAGGATTATTTTGAAGCCAAAATATGATCGCTTCATAAATTTCTAATACCCATTCAGGTCCTTGTAATAGTGGTGAAGAAAGAAGTGCATAAAGCAATTCGAATGATAACTAAAAAAAGGAAAGAAAGGAGAGAGAGAGAGAGAGAGAGAGAGAAGAAGAAGAAGAATATTAATTAAATGTAAAAAAATTTTTTTACATTTAGCTAATTGCTTTGAAATAATAATGAAAACAAACAAAAACAAAAAAAAAAAAAAAAAATTATATATAGAAAAGAAATTATTTCTTTTCTTTTTTTTTTTACTTCTGAAAATTTTGGGCTTGCCAGAATATCATGAAATTTTATTGCTGCACCATCAACAACCATATTACGATATTGTGATTGTCTAAATGTAAGATAAAAAGTAATGATAAGGAAAAATTGCGATAAAATAATTTTTTTGAGAATAATATTATTGTCTCATTCAAGATTATAACAAAATTTCGTGCAGCAATTAGACTTGTTCTTTTTTATTAAAAGATGACAAAATCTGCTAGAAGCTTTGAAGCTATAAACAGGTAAACATTGATATATACATCTGATTATATGATTTAAAATGAAAAAATTAATTAAACAAACGGAGGTAAACAAGCAATAGCTGAGTAAAGTAATGAAATTGGTGGTGATGTATTTTCTAATATGCGTTCAGTCATTTCTTCACAAATTAATGATACCAATGAAGTCACCTGAAAACTTTTTACTGCAAACACAATCATATCTACTGATCATAACTATAATTTTATTGGATTGAAAGATTTGCTTGTCATTTATTTTAATTATTAAAAGATTATTTGCCTCTATTTAATCACTATGATTTTTTTTACTATATCATTTAAAAATTTTTTGTTAAGGTATATTTTCAGAATTCAGGCATTTTGTTCTATCTGTATTGGTTTTATCTTGATTACCTATTAGCTTATCAATTCTTCGTTTCGCCTATTTTTGATACATTTGACTTTGTCAACTATTTCTTTCTTGATTTCATCTTTTTTTTTTTTTTTTTAAATAAAAGCATTATTTTAATTCCTAAATTCTTTATTATTAAGTTAAGTTTAATATACTTACTTGAAGATCATTAGCTGCTATTAGAACATTCTCCAATTCATTTTCTAAAAATTTGATTTGTCCACTTTGAATGAAAGCTACCACATTATAGAGACCGGCATTCGTAATATTTGGCATATCATTTAAATGAACTGTGATTTCTTTACCCGATGAAAGTGTTTCTTGTGTTGCCTAAATATAATGTTTCTAGGATAATTACCCATTTAAAGTTATTTAAAATTTTAATTAGTTTAATTATACTTTCATTAGTTTAATTATATATATATATTTTAAAAAAGGAAACGACCAAATATTTAAACAATTACAAATTTTGTACAACAAATATTAATTAATTCAATTAAAATTTACTTGTGCTGAAATAAGTTTGCGAAAGATATCCGAGAATGCAGTAAGTAAACATGCAGGTGCATTACATGAATATCCATTTTCAAGCACAATTTTTACTCGATTTTTAATACCAATATTTGCTGACCACTTTAAATATACTTCAGCTTCTAATCTATCAGTACGCAATTCATCCTTAAATGAAAATAAAAAAAAAAAAAAATGGTTAAATATAGTCAAGAAAAACTTTGAAAATATTTAATTTCAAATAAATCATTAAAATATTTTTTAGCAAAATTTATTCTTTTACCTTTAAACTTTTTTTCATCTTTTTTTCTTTTTTTTTTTTAAATCATAATAATACATTGAAATTTCTCAATAATTTAATGCAGGTATAAAAATGTTCTCAAATAATCTCAATATGTTTTTCCTTTCACATTTTTCTGTTTTTTTTTTTCTTTTATGCTTAAATATAAATATGCTTTTTAGCAATTAATTATGATTAATTAAATTAATTGGAACCTTCAAATACTTTTGCGAATATCTCCTGGTACAACCCATACAGCATCCAACGCAAGTCGCTGTTGTAATTGCGGGACTCCTTCCTGCGATCTGCCGTACCACATCTGATAGAAGCATGCAAATGATGCGTTGCAGTAATTCGAATCAAATAAATTAGTTTTTTTCTTAGTAAATAAATTTGCATATGAATGTTGCAAAAAATTCATTTTCGTTTTTAAATCAATCAATAATGTATTTTTCAATATAATTTGAGTAATTGATAGTTTAAAAAATTATTTCAAGCATTGACTGATAATATTTTGAAATTAGCAAAATTAATTAATACAATTTGAATAATTGATAGTTTTAAAAATTATTTCAATTTGTTTATTTACTTATTATTTTTCCTAATTTTTAATTAATATCAATTAATGCTTGAAATAATTTTAAAACTATCAATTATTCAAATTGTATTAATTAAATCAATCAATAATGCATTTTTCACCGGTACGTATATTCCATTCTTTCTTTAGCATATTCACTGATAAACTGTTAATAAATGAACTTTTTGGCTCCTACAAAAGCAATCTAATAAGAATAAAAAATGCATGAAATTGTCTTAAAAGATAATCATAAAGACACTGCACGAAATATTTCTAATTTCTTTAAATAAAAGCTTCAAACTTTAAATAAAATTTTTTTAAAGAAAAAGGCATTGTCCTAAAATAATTGTAAACGATGAGTCATTTTATTGAAATTTTTGCTTTGCAATCTTTTTTCGCAATCTAAGTTAATTTTAGGTAGTAATTTTGTAATTAAACCAATAATTTAGGATACATCTCGATGAATAAAACCTATGGTTAGCAATTTTGTTTACTAAAGCAAATGTCTATTAAAGATGTTTTGCATTTAATGATTTTGATGGATTAAATAGAATCAAAAAGAACGACAATTAAATAACTATAATTTTTGCTTCTTTGAAATTAGTTTTGTTTGGGAAAAAAGTTATACACCTATATTAATGTGTATATGAGAGAGTATATTTATCATAGTATTTTGTATAAATAAATGTGTATGTCACTTTTTTTTTTTTGATTTATACTTGTACGTCTATATTTCGATTTAATTCGTGTACTATGGTTGATAAAGACGATATCATACGCTTCATTGTTAGCCTGATGATATATTTATTGGTTTTTTGCCCTTGAGGATTTTATGCGAAACTGACAAATACTATTGCTACTACTAATAATAATAATAACAATAATAATAATAATGATAATAATAATAATTAATAATAATAATAATGATAGCAGCAACAACAATAATAATAATAATAATAATAATAATATAGAAACTGATTCATTTGAAAAGAGACTCGAGATGAAAAAACATATATATGCGATTAAAACGTTATGAAGTATTATACAAAATTATCAAAACCGATTAGAAAAGGAAATGAAACAAACAATATTCTATGTCTTCTCAAAAATTATTGCCTTTACTAGGACTAGGAACCGGATCATTTTCTTTAAAATCAATGAAATTGAACGTTTTTCTTAGCATTTTCAATTGCGCTATTTTCAAAACACAAAAGATAATAATGCCTTATGGATGAAATTGTTTTATACCAAGCCTTCAGCGGTAACACAAGACAAATCATAGTATTCTAGCGAAACCAAGAAAAATTTAGCAAACCACGCCAAAACCCCGGGTTTTTAATTGGTTTGCTAAAATTGTAATGTATTGCTGGATGACAATGTTTGCTATTTGCGTTACGAAACCATGATTATAGCGAAAATTAGCATCTCCATGTGCCAAACATTAACATTTTCATATACGCTATCAATATAAATAGAGTTTGGGACTAAATTAAAATGAGGAAGTCAAGTGGTTAGAAATTCATTTTTGACATTGGAAATTAGTCATAATTACCAATTAGCAGTAAATTGCCGTGAAAAATATTCATTTTGTACCAATTTTTATTACTTGGACAAGGGAAGAAACAAAAATTTTGTAAAAATTAAAGCTTTTTCGCATTTAATATTATCTCTTTGTCTATTTAAACTTATCTCTTTATCTCTTTGTTTCTAAAGTTAACTTTTAAAGTTTAAAGTCAGCATAAAATGTCAAAAAAAGTCAATAAGATGTCAGCAGATCAAGTGTAATGCAAATAAAAGTAATAAATTAAGTTCAATAAATGTTCATTTTTAGAAAAAAAGGAAACTTTTTTCTCAAAAGAAAAAAATTTTTTTCTCAAAAGTATAAATCTCTTCGAAAAGGAAGTTAATAACAAATAGCTTTTGTCTTTTTTGCAATAATTTAATTATTAAATTTATTTATTGTTAGTTTAGAAAATGCTTAAATTAATTAAGCATTATTTAAGTTAATTTCTTGTACCTTTTCCAATCTAATCATTTTATTATTTTCTTTTTTTTATTTTAAAATTAAACAAGAAATATGCATTTAAATTCATTTTTTCATGTGGTCTTATTTAGGAAAATTTTTAAGAAATTATTGCCTTCAACTTACTGCATTTAAAATTGTTTGTTAAATGACAATTATTATAAAAATCAATAAATTAATTAAGATCATTATAAATTATCATAAATGATTGAATCATTATAAATGATATCAAATTAACATCTAATAAATGATTAATCATTTCATTTAAATTTTATTTTTTACAAGACAAAACAAAAATGAAAAAAATCATTTCTAATCACTTCGTGTCAGTTTTTCACGTGCCTGTCGTTTCTTACGTAATTCTTTGCGACTTTCTGGTGGTTCAGTTCGTAATGGGATTTGCTCAATTTTAGGTCGTCGTTTCGAACTTGATTCCGATTCTTGACTGCTACTTGTTCGAATTTCAGCTGATTCTAGTGTTGGAGAGCTTTTGATAGCGCCTGATCCTTCCTGTTCACCCCTACCGCCACCAGTAGCACCACCGCCAATAGCACCACCGCCAATAGCACCACCACCGATAGCACCAGCAGTACCATCGCTAGCAGCAGCAGTAGTAATAGGAACATTTGAGTAGATGAGTACCGGATCATTATGTGCTGTAATTACCGTACAAATCGAATCACGAGAGCTTTTTGGTGGTAATATTGAGGGAGCGGTGCTACTTTGGAGTGGAATCATTTCACCTGTTACATTTCCACTTTTAGACATGCTTTGATTGTTGAGCTAAAATTTCAGCCCAAAGTTCTCGTCTACTATCACTAATCTTTTCCTGGGTTGGGTAAATTACGTAAGATTGCTTTAAAAACTGTTAACAACTACCAGATCCTATTGGAAGCTGTTGAGCTGGACGCCAATTTTTGTTAACTGATACGGATATTTCATTACTAATACTTTTGGTTGTTGCAGCAGATGATACCGAATCAAAAGGTGGAATGATATATGATCCAAGAGGTGATGGTGCTAATCCTAATGTTCCTCCTAATGGAGTTGGTGTAACTGCATTTTCTGCACCAGACACCGTATAGATGGGCGATGATAATGGTTGATTGCGATTTTGTGGTGACGCCAAATCATCCTATAATTTTTAATTTTTAGGTAGCTATTTTATTCTAAATTTTTAATATTTAATTTTAATCATATACTTATAAAATTGAATTTTTTTTTGTTTGTTTCGTAAACATTTGCAATGTACAAATTCAAATGATTGCAAATTTTTCTTTTCATATTATGAAATTGACATATTTGTTAAAAAATTCAAAAAATAAAACAAATGGAAACCATAAATTTGGCATAAACTGCATCCATTAAAAAGACTTGCACAATTGGTCCCAAATCTGGCACCTCCAATGATTTCTTCATTATTTTTTGACGCTAGAAAAATTAAAAAACAATTTTTTTTTCGAATTTATAAAAATTTAATTTGAATAATTTATCTGCCATTTTTTAAATAATCCTTATAATCTCAAGTTTTTAAGAAAAAAATTAAATGAAGCAAATAGGAAGGAAATAGATAACAAAATAGCAAACATTATCAGCCACATGAATAATTTCCTTGAAATTAACATTATCCAAAAGAGCTGACGCATAACAAATATGTTCAGGATTATTTTGAAGCCAAAATATGATCGCTTCATAAATTTCTAATACCCATTCAGGTCCTTGTAATAGTGGTGAAGAAAGAAGTGCGTAAAGCAATTCGAATGATAACTAAAAAAAAAGGAAAGGAAAAGGAGAGAGAGAGAGAGAGAGAGAGAGAGAGAAGAAGAAGAAGAATATTAATTAAATGTAAAAAAAAATTTTTTTACATTTAGCTAATTGCTTTGAAATAATAATGAAAACAAACAAAAACAAAAAAAAAAAAAAAAATTATATATAGAAAAGAAATTATTTCTTTTCTTTTTTTACTTCTGAAAATTTTGGGCTTGCCAGAATATCATGAAATTTTATTGCTGCACCATCAACAACCATATTACGATATTGTGATTGTCTAAATGTAAGATAAAAAGTAATGATAAGGAAAAAATTGCGATAAAATAATTTTTTTGAGAATAATATTATTGTCTCATTCAAGATTATAACAAAATTTCGTGCAGCAATTAGACTTGTTCTTTTTTATTAAAAGATGACAAAATCTGCTAGAAGCTTTGAAGCTATAAACAGGTAAACATTGATATATATCTGATTATATGATTTAAAATGAAAAAATTAATTAAACAAACGGAGGTAAACAAGCAATAGCTGAGTAAAGTAATGAAATTGGTGGTGATGTATTTTCTAATATGCGTTCAGTCATTTCTTCACAAATTAATGATACCAATGAAGTCACCTGAAAACTTTTTACTGCAAACACAATCATATCTACTGATCATAACTATAATTTTATTGGATTGAAAGATTTGCTTGTCATTTATTTTAATTATTAAAAAGATTATTTGCCTCTATTTAATCACTATGATTTTTTACTATATCATTTAAAAATCTTTTGTTAAGGTATATTTTCAGAATTCAGGCATTTTGTTCTATCTGTATTGGTTTTATCTTGATTACCTATTAGCTTATCAATTCTTCGTTTCGCCTATTTTTGATACATTTGACTTTGTCAACTATTTCTTTCTTGATTTCATCTTTTTTTTTTCTTTTTTTAAAAAAAGCATTATTTTAATTCCTAAATTCTTTATTATTAAGTTAAGTTTAATATACTTACTTGAAGATCATTAGCTGCTATTAGAACATTCTCCAATTCATTTTCTAAAAATTTGATTTGTCCACTTTGAATGAAAGCTACCACATTATAGAGACCGGCATTCGTAATATTTGGCATATCATTTAAATGAACTGTGATTTCTTTACCCGATGAAAGTGTTTCTTGTGTTGCCTAAATATAATGTTTCTAGGATAATTACCCATTTAAAGTTATTTAAAATTTTAATTAGTTTAATTATACTTTCATTAGTTTAATTATATATATATATTTTAAAAAGGAAACGACCAAATATTTAAACAATTACAAATTTTGTACAACAAATATTAATTAATTCAATTAAAATTTACTTGTGCTGAAATAAGTTTGCGAAAGATATCCGAGAATGCAGTAAGTAAACATGCAGGTGCATTACATGAATATCCATTTTCAAGCACAATTTTTACTCGATTTTTAATACCAATATTTGCTGACCACTTTAAATATACTTCAGCTTCTAATCTATCAGTACGCAATTCATCCTTAAATGAAAATAAAAAAAAAAAAAATGGTTAAATATAGTCAAGAAAAACTTTGAAAATATTTAATTTCAAATAAATCATTAAAATATTTTTAGCAAAATTTATTCTTTTACCTTTAAACTTTTTTTCATCTTTTTTCTTTTTTTTTTTTTAAATCATAATAATACATTGAAATTTCTCAATAATTTAATGCAGGTATAAAAATGTTCTCAAATAATCTCAATATTTTTCCTTTTTCATTTTTTTTTTTTTCTTTTATGCTTAAATATAAATATGCTTTTTAGCAATTAATTATGATTAATTAAATTAATTGGAACCTTCAAATACTTTTTGCGAATATCTCCTGGTACAACCCATACAGCATCCAACGCAAGTCGCTGTTGTAATTGCGGGACTCCTTCCTGCGATCTGCCGTACCACATCTGATAGAAGCATGCAAATGATGCGTTGCAGTAATTCGAATCAAATAAATTAGTTTTTTTCTTAGTAAATAAATTTGCATATGAATGTTGCAAAAATTCATTTTCGTTTTTAAATCAATCAATAATGTATTTTTCAATATAATTTGAGTAATTGATAGTTTAAAAATTATTTCAAGCATTGACTGATAATATTTTGAAATTAGCAAAATTAATTAATACAATTTGAATAATTGATAGTTTTAAAAATTATTTCAATTTGTTTATTTACTTATTATTTTTCCTAATTTTTAATTAATATCAATTAATGCTTGAAATAATTTTTAAAACTATCAATTATTCAAATTGTATTAATTAAATCAATCAATAATGCATTTTTCACCGGTACGTATATTCCATTCTTTCTTTAGCATATTCACTGATAAACTGTTAATAAATGAACTTTTTGGCTCCTACAAAAGCAATCTAATAAGAATAAAAAATGCATGAAATTGTCTTAAAAGATAATCATAAAGACACTGCACGAAATATTTCTAATTTCTTTAAATAAAAGCTTCAAACTTTAAATAAAATTAAAGAAAAAAAAAAAAGGCATTGTCCTAAAATAATTGTAAACGATGAGTCATTTTATTGAAATTTTTGCTTTGCAATCTTTTTTCGCAATCTAAGTTAATTTTAGGTAGTAATTTTGTAATTAAACCAATAATTTAGGATACATCTCGATGAATAAAACCTATGGTTAGCAATTTTGTTTACTAAAGCAAATGTCTATTAAAGATGTTTTGCATTTAATGATTTTGATGGATTAAATAGAATCAAAAAGAACGACAATTAAATAACTATAATTTTTGCTTCTTTGAAATTAGTTTTGTTTGGGAAAAAAAAGTTATACACCTATATTAATGTGTATATGAGAGAGTATATTTATCATAGTATTTTGTATAAATAAATGTGTATGTCACTTTTTTTTTTTTTGATTTATACTTATACGTCTATATTTCGATTTAATTCGTGTACTATGGTTGATAAAGACGATATCATACGCTTCATTGTTAGCCTGATGATATATTTATTGGTTTTTTGCCCTTGAGGATTTTATGCGAAACTGACAAATACTATTGCTACTACTAATAATAATAATAACAATAATAATAATAATGATAATAATAATAATTAATAATAATAATAATGATAGCAGCAACAACAATAATAATAATAATAATAATAATAATATAGAAACTGATTCATTTGAAAAGAGACTCGAGATGAAAAAACATATATATGCGATTAAAACGTTATGAAGTATTATACAAAATTATCAAAACCGATTAGAAAAGGAAATGAAACAAACAATATTCTATGTCTTCAAAAATTATTGCCTTTACTAGGACTAGGAACCGGATCATTTTCTTTAAAATCAATGAAATTGAACGTTTTTCTTAGCATTTTCAATTGCGCTATTTTCAAAACAAAAAGATAATAATGCCTTATGGATGAAATTGTTTTATACCAAGCCTTCAGCGGTAACACAAGACAAATCATAGTATTCTAGCGAAACCAAGAAAAATTTAGCAAACCACGCCAAAACCCCGGGTTTTTAATTGGTTTGCTAAAATTGTAATGTATTGCTGGATGACAATGTTTGCTATTTGCGTTACGAAACCATGATTATAGCGAAAATTAGCATCTCCATGTGCCAAACATTAACATTTTCATATACGCTATCAATATAAATAGAGTTTGGGACTAAATTAAAATGAGGAAGTCAAGTGGTTAGAAATTCATTTTTGACATTGGAAATTAGTCATAATTACCAATTAGCAGTAAATTGCCGTGAAAAATATTCATTTTGTACCAATTTTTATTACTTGGACAAGGGAAGAAACAAAAATTTTGTAAAAATTAAAGCTTTTTCGCATTTAATATTATCTCTTTGTCTATTTAAACTTATCTCTTTATCTCTTTGTTTCTAAAGTTAACTTTTAAAGTTTAAAGTCAGCATAAAATGTCAAAAAAAAGTCAATAAGATGTCAGCAGATCAAGTGTAATGCAAATAAAAGTAATCAATTAAGTTCAATAAATGTTCATTTTTAAATGAATTGTATTTTTCCAGCATTTGCAGATTTTAATTGAAACAGAATAAATAAAAATTAAATCGTTTTTAATATTTAATTTATTAAAACTTTTAAAAACTGTCGAAATTTCTTAAGTAACCCTATCTAGAATTGTGACTAAAATTAATTTTAATATTTAAAAAATAGTTGAAATCAATTATACTTGCAGATTTAATTAATTTCTGCAATGAAAGTTTGCTTTAAAGTTAACTTTTAAAGTTTGAAGTTAGCATAAAATGTCAGAAATATTTTGGATTTAATAGAAAAGAATAAATTGAAGAGAATCTGGGAGAGAGTGAAAAAAATGAATAAATTTGACCTTTTGAATTTTAAGTTGCTTTAAAATTATTTCAATGTCAAAGTGCAAGGGTTCAAACGTACACGTACGTTTAATTGTAGCATTAGGTCAAGTGATGTTATACGTGGATGGTATGAATGGTATCAATGTTCATATTAAAATAATTCAATGGCTTTATGAATTACTTGATTCATCGGTTAGTTTCCCTAATACTTCATTTTTTTTTTTTTATTTTTTATCAAGAAAAAGTAAAAGTGAATTTTTTTTTTAATTTTTAAAAATAATGAATTAATTGTTTCGTGTTCGATATTATTCATAAATCTTTTTTTTCGATAAAGGATAAAAGAAATTTTTTTCGCATTAAATCATGTTCAAAAACATTCATTTTTAAATAAATCATGTTCAAAAACATTCATTTTTAAATAATTTTTATAGCATTGGTAGAATTCAATTAAGACAAGATTTAGAAAACCTTTTTTAAGTCTTCAATGTATTTCAATTATTTCAATTATCATTTAAAAATGAACATTTATTGAACTTAATTTATTACTTTTATTTGCATTACACTTGATCTGCTGACATCTTATTGACTTTTTTTTGACATTTTATGCTGACCTTAAACTTTAAAAGTTAACTTTAGAAACAAAGAGATAAAGAGATAAGTTTAAATAGACAAAGAGATAATATTAAATGCGAAAAATTTTAGCTCAACAATCAAAGCATGTCTAAAAGTGGAAATGTAACAGGTGAAATGATTCCACTCCAAAGTAGCACCGCTCCCTCAATATTACCACCAAAAAGCTCTCGTGATTCGATTTGTACGGTAATTACAGCACATAATGATCCGGTACTCATCTACTCAAATGTTCCTATTACTACTGCTGCTGCTAGCGATGGTACTGCTGGTGCTATCGGTGGTGGTGCTATTGGCGGTGGTGCTATTGGCGGTGGTGCTACTGGTGGCGGTAGGGGTGAACAGGAAGGATCAGGCGCTATCAAAAGCTCTCCAACACTAGAATCAGCTGAAATTCGAACAAGTAGCAGTCAAGAATCGGAATCAAGTTCGAAACGACGACCTAAAATTGAGCAAATCCCATTACGAACTGAACCACCAGAAAGTCGCAAAGAATTACGTAAGAAACGACAGGCACGTGAAAAAACTGACACGAAGTGATTAGAAATGATTTTTTTTTCATTTTTGTTTTGTCTTGTAAAAAATAAAATTTAAATGAAATGATTAATCATTTATTAGATGTTAATTTGATATCATTTATAATGATTCAATCATTTATGATAATTTATAATGATCTTAATTAATTTATTGATTTTTATAATAATTGTCATTTAACAAACAATTTTAAATGCAGTAAGTTGAAGGCAATAATTTCTTAAAAATTTTCCTAAATAAGACCACATGAAAAAATGAATTTAAATGCATATTTCTTGTTTAATTTTAAAATAAAAAAAGAAAATAATAAAATGATTAGATTGGAAAAGGTACAAGAAATTAACTTAAATAATGCTTAATTAATTTAAGCATTTTCTAAACTAACAATAAATAAATTTAATAATTAAATTATTGCAAAAAAGACAAAAGCTATTTGTTATTAACTTCCTTTTCGAAGAGATTTATACTTTTGAGAAAAAAAAGTTTTTTTTTTTTCTTTTGAGAAAAAGTTTCCTTTTTTTCTAAAAATGAACATTTATTGAACTTAATTTATTACTTTTATTTGCATTACACTTGATCTGCTGACATCTTATTGACTTTTTTTGACATTTTATGCTGACTTTAAACTTTAAAAGTTAACTTTAGAAACAAAGAGATAAAGAGATAAGTTTAAATAGACAAAGAGATAATATTAAATGCGAAAAAAGCTTTAATTTTTACAAAATTTTTTGTTTCTTCCCTTGTCCAAGTAATAAAAATTGGTACAAAATGAATATTTTTCACGGCAATTTACTGCTAATTGGTAATTATGACTAATTTCCAATGTCAAAAATGAATTTCTAACCACTTGACTTCCTCATTTTAATTTAGTCCCAAACTCTATTTATATTGATAGCGTATATGAAAATGTTAATGTTTGGCACATGGAGATGCTAATTTTCGCTATAATCATGGTTTCGTAACGCAAATAGCAAACATTGTCATCCAGCAATACATTACAATTTTAGCAAACCAATTAAAAACCCGGGGTTTTGGCGTGGTTTGCTAAATTTTTCTTGGTTTCGCTAGAATACTATGATTTGTCTTGTGTTACCGCTGAAGGCTTGGTATAAAACAATTTCATCCATAAGGCATTATTATCTTTTTGTTTTGAAAATAGCGCAATTGAAAATGCTAAGAAAAACGTTCAATTTCATTGATTTTAAAGAAAATGATCCGGTTCCTAGTCCTAGTAAAGGCAATAATTTTTGAGAAGACATAGAATATTGTTTGTTTCATTTCCTTTTCTAATCGGTTTTGATAATTTTGTATAATACTTCATAACGTTTTAATCGCATATATATGTTTTTTCATCTCGAGTCTCTTTTCAAATGAATCAGTTTCTATATTATTATTATTATTATTATTATTATTATTATTATTATTATTATTATTATTATTATTATTATTATTATTGTTGTTGCTGCTATCATTATTATTATTATTAATTATTATTATTATCATTATTATTATTATTGTTATTATTATTATTAGTAGTAGCAATAGTATTTGTCAGTTTCGCATAAAATCCTCAAGGGCAAAAAACCAATAAATATATCATCAGGCTAACAATGAAGCGTATGATATCGTCTTTATCAACCATAGTACACGAATTAAATCGAAATATAGACGTATAAGTATAAATCAAAAAAAAAAAGTGACATACACATTTATTTATACAAAATACTATGATAAATATACTCTCTCATATACACATTAATATAGGTGTATAACTTTTTTTCCCAAACAAAACTAATTTCAAAGAAGCAAAAATTATAGTTATTTAATTGTCGTTCTTTTTGATTCTATTTAATCCATCAAAATCATTAAATGCAAAACATCTTTAATAGACATTTGCTTTAGTAAACAAAATTGCTAACCATAGGTTTTATTCATCGAGATGTATCCTAAATTATTGGTTTAATTACAAAATTACTACCTAAAATTAACTTAGATTGCGAAAAAAGATTGCAAAGCAAAAATTTCAATAAAATGACTCATCGTTTACAATTATTTTAGGACAATGCCTTTTTCTTTAAAAAAAAATTTTATTTAAAGTTTGAAGCTTTTATTTAAAGAAATTAGAAATATTTCGTGCAGTGTCTTTATGATTATCTTTTAAGACAATTTCATGCATTTTTATTCTTATTAGATTGCTTTTGTAGGAGCCAAAAAGTTCATTTATTAACAGTTTATCAGTGAATATGCTAAAGAAAGAATGGAATATACGTACCGGTGAAAAATGCATTATTGATTGATTTAATTAATACAATTTGAATAATTGATAGTTTTAAAAATTATTTCAAGCATTAATTGATATTAATTAAAAATTAGGAAAAATAATAAGTAAATAAACAAATTGAAATAATTTTTAAAACTATCAATTATTCAAATTGTATTAATTAATTTTGCTAATTTCAAAATATTATCAGTCAATGCTTGAAATAATTTTTTAAACTATCAATTACTCAAATTATATTGAAAAATACATTATTGATTGATTTAAAAAACGAAAATGAATTTTTGCAACATTCATATGCAAATTTATTTACTAAGAAAAAAACTAATTTATTTGATTCGAATTACTGCAACGCATCATTTGCATGCTTCTATCAGATGTGGTACGGCAGATCGCAGGAAGGAGTCCCGCAATTACAACAGCGACTTGCGTTGGATGCTGTATGGGTTGTACCAGGAGATATTCGCAAAAGTATTTGAAGGTTCCAATTAATTTAATTAATCATAATTAATTGCTAAAAAGCATATTTATATTTAAGCATAAAAGAAAAAAAAAACAGAAAAATGTGAAAGGAAAAACATATTGAGATTATTTGAGAACATTTTTATACCTGCATTAAATTATTGAGAAATTTCAATGTATTATTATGATTTAAAAAAAAAAAATAAAAAAAGATGAAAAAAAAAGTTTAAAGGTAAAAGAATAAATTTTGCTAAAAAAATATTTTAATGATTTATTTGAAATTAAATATTTTCAAAGTTTTTCTTGACTATATTTAACCATTTTTTTTTTTTTTTATTTTAGTTTTCATTTAAGGATGAATTGCGTACTGATAGATTAGAAGCTGAAGTATATTTAAAGTGGTCAGCAAATATTGGTATTAAAAATCGAGTAAAAATTGTGCTTGAAAATGGATATTCATGTAATGCACCTGCATGTTTACTTACTGCATTCTCGGATATCTTTCGCAAACTTATTTCAGCACAAGTAAATTTTAATTGAATTAATTAATATTTGTTGTACAAAATTTGTAATTGTTTAAATATTTGGTCGTTTCCTTTTTTAAAATATATATATATAATTAAACTAATGAAAGTATAATTAAACTAATTAAAATTTTAAATAACTTTAAATGGGTAATTATCCTAGAAACATTATATTTAGGCAACACAAGAAACACTTTCATCGGGTAAAGAAATCACAGTTCATTTAAATGATATGCCAAATATTACGAATGCCGGTCTCTATAATGTGGTAGCTTTCATTCAAAGTGGACAAATCAAATTTTTAGAAAATGAATTGGAGAATGTTCTAATAGCAGCTAATGATCTTCAAGTAAGTATATTAAACTTAACTTAATAATAAAGAATTTAGGAATTAAAATAATGCTTTTTTAAAAAAGAAAAAAAAGATGAAATCAAGAAAGAAATAGTTGACAAAGTCAAATGTATCAAAAATAGGCGAAACGAAGAATTGATAAGCTAATAGGTAATCAAGATAAAACCAATACAGATAGAACAAAATGCCTGAATTCTGAAAATATACCTTAACAAAAAATTTTTAAATGATATAGTTGTAGTGGAAGCAAAAAAATGTTTTTGGAAACAAACCTTTATGATTTGGTTAAATTGTTATTCGGGGGAGAAGTTTGATGTCAGGGAGATGTGTTGGATGCCAGCTAAATATTTGGGCAACAAATTGAATAAACTGATTCGGAGGATTGGATGATTTTAAAACTGATCTAATTGACAATAGTATGGTTATAAATCTACATTGATGTTAGACAATGATCCAAACAAAGGAGAGGAGGTGCTTGCATGGGCACCAGTTGCTAATAAAGAGCTTATTAGATAACCGCATGATTATGATAGCTAACAAAGAACAATGTAGATATCCTCATGATTGTAAGGATTGCTAACAAAGAACGATGTAAATTGTTTCAATATGTAGAAGCATAAATTTGGAAACAAAGAGTCCGAAGTATAAGCATTATTTGCGGAAATTACGTAGATATCTTTACTACAATTTGCAACTCATATTTTTAGATCGCGATATTAAAATCCGCGACACTCCCGACCGAAGGAGCTAAATGCTTTAGTTCGTTGGACAGCTTTGGTTGATTGCTTCGCCTTATAGCGCTTCTAGTTCGTAGAGCAATTGGTTCTTGTTCATTGACATTTTGCACTGATTTGTTAAACATTGTTGGTTGAGGGTCAATTTCCTCACCTTTGACTTCCAGTGGGTATAACATATTCACCGGTCTGTTGAGTATTTTTCCTTTCGGTAATTCTATCGAGACACTTCTCACTTCTCCATCCTTTCCTGTTTTGATTTCTCTTATTCTGGCTAGTTTCCACATGCCACGGGGAATTTCTGGTTCATTTAGTAACACAATCTCTCCCTCGTGGGGAGTTCTTTTACTACATCTCTCGGAGAAGAGTGTTCCCTTTGTGCTCTTTCTTTAAGAGTATTTAAATATTCCTCTTTCCATATTTCCCAGAAGGCATCGAGGGCCTTTAGTGTATTTGACCAGTATTGAATGAGTTTTTTCTATTTATGAGGGATAAAATCATCCATTTCATTCTTGTTTTTAGCAGGCATGATTAGATGCGCATTCGGTAGTATAAAGTCAATTGGACGCAATATGATACAATCATCAAAATTTACGTAAGTTAGTGGTCGAGTATTCAAAATACTTTCCACTTCCGCTACTAGCGTAATCAATTCC